GCGAGGTATTGTGCTAAGATGCTAGAGATTCTAAGTTAAGAGAGGTTTATTGCCTTTGATTAACTCACAGACACATGAGAGAAATATTAGCAAATTATCAGAAGAGTGTCAGTACTGAATGAGAGTATTGAATGAGTAAGAAAATGGGCACTGGAATCAGCCGAGTGATCCCGTTACTTAACTTGATACATTATCTTCGTTTCTGTACCTTGATTTCTTCACCTAAAGAGCTTTGACATACAGAGGATAGGTGCCTAGCCCTTAGTAAGTGATGGGTAAATGGTAGCTATACTTAACTATCATTAGCATCTCTGCCTAGGCCTCATAGAGGAAGTAACATTTCAGCTGGTCACTGAAGGATGGGTCTCTACTAGAAAGAGGACAGGGATGGACAGCTAAGAAATAGCCTGAGAACAGACACAGAAGAATGAAAGGGAATGATGTTTTTAGACATTGGAGAATGATCCAGTATAGCAGAAGAACAGAGGATGTGTAGGAGATGGTAAGAGATGAAGCTCGGGAAATAAGACCCAGCTAGTGAAGGGTCTTTTTAAAAATTAATTAATTAATTATTTGGCTGCGCCAGGACTTAGTTGCGGTGCACAGGATCTTTAATCTTTGTAGCTACATGTGGGATCTTTACTTGCAGCATGGGAACTCTTAGTTGGGGCATGTGGGATCTAGTTCTCTGACCAGGGATCGAACCCGGGCCCCCTGCTTTGGGAGTGTGGAGTCTTAGCCACTGGACCGCCAGGGAAGTTCTCAGTGAAGGGTCTTGTTTGCTGTTAGAATTTGGACATAATCTGATAGATGAAATAGAACCCTGAGAATTCTTTTAAGAGGGGCTTGTCATAATCTAAACTGTCTTTTAGAAGTTTCCTTCTGGTACTTCTGTGGAGGATGGATTGGATGGGAGGGAGGTGGGGAGACCACTGAGAAGAAGAACTTGCTAAAAACTGGTGAGAGAAGTTGAGAGTGCGAATTGCAGTGATGGATATTCCAGAGGTGGGTCAGCGTGGTGACTGGTGGAAGGATTGTGAGAGCAGGAGGGTTGAAGAAGAGCTGCAATGTCCAGAGAGCTGCTGATGCCACATACTGGTAGAGGGACTAGCAGAAGGAACAGATTTTTCCTTCCTAATTATTTCATTCAAGGAGAAAGACTGCTTCTTCCTGATCTTGGAAGCAAGTATTCTAAAATTCACAAATCCATTCTTTAGCTGGGAGCAGTTTCTCCTCTCTTCTCTCTTGGGCCTTATAAATAGTTAGCTGCTCCAGACAAATAATTACTGATCTCGGGTGCTTAGGGCAGAAGGTGGCTTTGTTTCTTTCACTCCCTGGAGTCTCCTGCGGGAGAGAGGGGTGAAAGCCATGTGTTTGTTTTCACATTTGTAAGAATGAATGGAGTTGAAACATTACCCCTCCTCTGTTAACAGACACATGGGCCTCTTCTCACTCCCACAGCCATTAATCTCTGTAGAAAACAGTGTTAAATTTAAAAGTTCTTGGGACTTCCTTGGTGCTCCAGTGGTTAAAAATACACCTTCCAGTGCAGGGGACACAGGTTCTATCCCTGGTCAGGGAACTAAGATCCCACATGCCGAGGGGCAGCTAAGCCCATGCACCACAACTGCTGAGCCGATACTGCTCTGCAGCTGGAGAGAAGCCTGTTTGCCGCAATGAAAGATTCTGCATGCTGCAACTAAGACCTGACACAGCTAAATGTTTTTTTTTTTTCCCCCAAAAAAAGTTCATTACAGCTTTCCCCCTCTCTTTGCTGGTTTCCCACAAAATATCATTCACCTTTTTGCACTGGTCAAGGAATTGAGTCCCCCCTAGCTGTTGGTATCCAGAATAGCACCTTGCCCACCACCACCATCTCCCTATCTTAGAATTGACCTGGTTCTGGTTCTAGCTGTGTAACATAGCTTGGCGGGGCACAATCTGTCCCTGCTCAGTCATATGTACAGGTACCGTGGATACAGGCCGTCATGCTGGCATTAGTCAACAACATCCCATTCTATAGAGTTCTCTCCTTGGTCTTTTACTTCCAACTTTCTCCTTTCTCTGCCTTCTTTCCACTTTCTTTCAACCAGGAATTGTTTTCAGCTGGTGAGTTTTGTTGGCTTGAAGTGTGGAGTGCCCAAAGTTATTTTCTCCATCACTCTCTGGTGAAGTAGTCGCTTTCATAACCCTCCCTCTTTCAGGTGGCTCTTAGATGTTCCAAGTATAGATCTTCCTTGATTTATAATGAAGTTATGTCCCAGTAAACCCATCACAGGGTGAACCTAAGTCAAAGCTACATTGGGTGCACCTCACCTATTGAACATTATAGCTTAGTTTAACCTAGCCTACCTTAAATGTGCTCAGAACACCTACATGAGCCTACAGTTGGATGGACAAAATCATCCAACACAAAGCCTATTTTATAATAAAGTGTTGAATATTCATGCAATTTATTGAATCTGTGCTGAAAGTGAAAAGCGGAATAGGTTGTTTAACCTCGAGATTGAGTGGTTGACTGGGAGCTGCGGCTGCTGCTGCCCACCATCACTAGTCTGGGGAAAAGAAAATTCAAAATTAGAAGTATGGTTTCTGCTGAATGCTTATCACTTTTGTACCATAATTAAAAAAAAAAAAACAAAAATGCAAGTCAAACCACTGTGCATAGACCACATTAGTGGGCAGAAAAGTCCTATGGAACAGCTCCTTCTGTTTATTTCTGGAGCTGAGTTGGGAGAGGGTAAAATTTTCTGGACTGAGTGGAGTGAATAGTTCCTTCTTTTATGAAACACCTTTGAGAGGTTGTCTGGTTTTTTTTCAGTAAAGTTGACCCCACACTAATAAGAGTGACCATGAACACTGTTATTTGATGAAATATTATCATTATAGATAACAGCCTTGGACCATCAATTGATCTCTACCATTTCTGGGCCACTCTGGAATCTCTGTGGTAAACTGGGTATCTATCTCTAGCTTTGATTTTAGGGTACTCCTTTATCTTAAACCATCTGAAAGGGCATAGCTACTTGGTTTTTAAAAATATATATCAGTTTTTTCTTACATCCATCTAGTTTTTTTAAACTGAAGTATAATTGATTTACAATGTTATAGTTTGCATCTGCTAATCTCAAACTCCTAACTTAACCCTCTGTCATCCCCTTTCCCTCTTTGGTAACAGTAAATTTATTTTCTATGTCTGTGAGTCTTTCTGTTTCATAAATAAGTTCATTTGTGTCATATTTTAGATTCCACATATAAATGATATCATATGGTGTTTGTCTTTCTAACTTCAGTTAGTATGATAATCTCTTGGTCCATTCATGTTGCTGCAGATAGCATTATTTCATTCTTCTTTATGGCTGAGTAGTATTCCATTGAGTGTATATACCACATCTTCTTTATTTTTTATCTGCTGGTGGACATTTAGATTGTTTCCATGTCTTGTAAATAGTGCCGCTATTAATATTGGAGTGCATGTATCTTTTTGAACTAGAGTTTTCTCCAGATATACACCCAGAAGTGGGATTTTTGGATTATATGGCAACTCTATTTTTTAGTTTTTTAAGGAACCTCCATACTGTTTTCCATAGTGGCTGTACCAACTTAGATTTCCACCAACAGTGTAGGAGGGTTCCCTTTTTTCCTCACCCTCTCCAGCAGTTATTATTTGTAGACTTTTTAATGATGGTCCTACTGACCAGTGTGAGGTGGTACCTCATTGTAGTTTTGATTTGCATTTCTCTAATAATTAGTGATGTTGAACTTCTTTTCATGTGTTTGTTGGTCATTTGTATGTCTTGTTTGGAGAAATATCTGTTTAAGTCTTCTGCTCATTTTTTGACATGGGTTTTTTTGTTTTGTTATTAAATTGTGTGAGCTGTTTATATAATTTAGAAATTAATCCCTTGTCAGTTGTATCATTTAGAAATATTTTCTCCCAGTCCGTAGGTTGTCTTTTTGTTTTATTATTTCCTTTGCTGTACAAAAGCTTATAAATTTGATTAGGTCCATTTGTTTATTTTTGCTTTCATTTCTGTTGCCTTGGGAGACAAGATATCAGCTTTTTTCTGAAGACAAAGACAAAGGATCCTTATAGGAAGTTTAGAAAATACAGAGAAGCAAAAATGAAAAATCCCCATAATCCAATCACCCAGAGGAAAACACTGTGAAATTTGTGGCCTAACCATTTAGGTTTTTAAAAAATATATTTATGTGTTTTTTTTTTAAGAGGTTATAGCATGTATCTCTTTTATGATCCTCAATTAATAGAATGTTATAAGTATCTCTCCATGTCATTGAAAATTCTTTATAACATCATATTTAGTAATTCCATAGCGGCCCATTTTATGTAGAGAATAGGGACATTATTAATAAAGATAAATATATTTTAATTTGAAAAAATAAAAAGCATATGACCAAAAGAGAGTACAAAAGGAAAGGATATTATAAAAATAGTGATGGAGTGTTGCAACAATCAAAAGTATAGGTTTCAGGGACTTCCCTGGTGATTCAGTGGCTAGGGATCTGTGCTTCCACTGAGAGGGTCCAGATTTGATCCCTGGTTGGGGAACAAAGGTCCTGCATGCTGCCCAATGCGACCCCCCAAAAGAGTATAGGTTTCCCAGCTTTGAATCTCATAAGCAATAATTGTAAGCTTAGTAAACTGTTTAGTTAAATAGGACATGGGTGTTAACAGACTAGATCTTTTTATTCATCTTTGGGCTGAAGTTTTGTAAAATCTTTCCGGGTCTGAAAATTTTACAAGAAATACACCAGTGGTGTTGCTAAAGGTGAGTGGTTTTGACTTTCTTGGTTTCCTTTCATTAGAAATTAAGCTGAGAAGTTCTCACTCTTGTGAGTTTGCCTACATCCTAGGCACCAGGAGACATTTGACAGATTATTTGACAGCAGTTATGGGAAGTTTCTTGTTGGGGGTACTGGCTGAATTGAATCTTAATTGATGTGCCTGGATTAGACCATGTATTTATTTCTTTTTACAGGTAGTGCCTTCCTCAGTGCTATCTTTCTTGCCTTAGCAACGTACCAATCTCTGTACCCACTCACCTTGTTTGTCCCAGGACTCCTCTATCTCCTTCAGGTAAGCACTTGCTGGTCAGAAGCCAACACTCAGGTGACATTTAATACACAGCATGGTCCTTGCTTAGGGGAAAGAATGGCATGGCACAATAAAAGCTGTGGGACTGGGTCCTCAGTTCATACTTGCTTGCTTCTCCTTGAAAACACAAAGAAACTTGACTAACTTTAAACCAAGTGAACCCCTGGGTAGCCATTCCCTTCTCCAGGGGATCTTCCTGACTCAGGGATCGAACCCAGGTCTCCTGCATTGCAGGCAGATTCTTTATCTGAGCCACCAGGGAACCCCCAATGATCATTATGTTCTAATTATACATATCATTGCAAATGTATTAGTGCATTTCATTTTTATGTTTGTAATTGGGATTCTTGCATTCTTCTTTTTTTTTTTGCCTAATATTCACAGATCCTTCTCTGAGCCCATTTCTTTAACTGTATTTTGTATAACAACACTGCCTTTGTAAGGTTCTTGCATGAATTTAATGTTGTGGGTGTACCTGATGCAGTGCCTGGACCGTAGTGGGAGATCAGTAGTTTAGTTGAAGAATGCAAACTGCTAATATTTACTGAGAACTTACTACATGTTGATCACTATGCTGAACACTCTCCAGGCATCATCTCATTTCAACCACAGAAGAACTTTAACAGGTAGGTCATATAAGCTGTATATTCATCTACTAGTAACGATATTAGACACATGCATTGCAGCTAGAATGTATGGCAGTTTAATCACTTGCCTGAGGTCACATGGCCAGCAAGTGACTGCGAAGATGTCAGCTTGGGCAGAGCCTGCTCTCTAAGCATCTGTCTTTTCTACTCAAATAAGAATATACACATCTCCTCAAGAGCAAGTAGCTGCTTATATAGGTCCTGCATGGTTCCAAATCCATTCTTAGAAGGAAACATTTCATGAAAGGGTATGGAGGGCAATGCCATGATTCAAACCAAGAAATGTCTGCTTTCAGAACCCTTGTTCTTAATTATAAAATTTCTGTGCAACTGTTGCTGAAACTGAGTATGTACCTCCATTTGTTGAAATAAGCCATGTGTGCTTGTCATTTTAAGTGACTTCATCATGTATCTTTTGGCTGATGTGTACAGTGGCACATGGTTAGCTTAGTCTTTCTCCTATTTGGGGGATTTGAGAGCTGCCCTAGTTGTCACTAATGTAAGTAGTATAGACATTTAATTTCCTTAAGGTGTGTTCTTCCAGGTAAATCTTTGGCACCAAAAGTGTGAGAAATTTTATAGTTTTTTTATGCAGACAACAGTGCTCACCAGAAATCTGGAACCAGTCTGTGGGGCCACCATCAGCGTCTAAAGTGAACCACTTCCTCCCAGGCCACCAGCACTGGCTTTTCAAATTCGGTTTGTGATTGCCAGTTTAATAGCTACATCATCATACTGTGAAGTTATTTTACTTGGACTTGCTTTCTAGATTCTTGTAGAAAGCAGACATCTTCCTACATAACAGTATGTTGTTGGCATTTCCTTTCTTGCTTCATATTTACAGTTTATTCTTTAGAAAGTCTGAGCACCACGAAGAATGCATGCAACCAGAATTTCTGTACAACTATTTATCAAATTAATACTATAAGAATATATTTGCTCAGACACATGAACTGACCAAAAAATTTTAAGTGGCTTGTTAGGCCAAATACTAAATACTATGTTATGTAAAATAGCTCTTATTTAAAACTCAAGGAAATTCTGTCCTGACAGCAATGAACAGTGCGGCTAAGTCGTGAAATCTAGCTACTCAGGCAGTCACTTTGTTCAGCCCCTCCCTCCACCAATACGGACTGAGCATCCGGAGTCAGTATGCTAGGCACTCTGGGAGATAAAAAGCCATTAATAAAGGTTGCCGAGCAGGAAGTCCTGTAGGAAGACAGCTCTGGTAGTAGCCTGGGTTGGATTAGAGTGAGAAGGAGCTGAAGTTGGGAAGGGTTTGGCCATCGTATTAGGTTGAGTCAGAGGGCTTGACTAGGGGTCTAGATCAGTGTCACGGGAAATGGAGAGATGAGGGACTAGATGCAGAATTCTAGGAGGTTGAATTGGCTGTGTGGCAGCTGTGTAAATGTGGTGAACAGGACTGGAAAGAGTGAGATAAACTACAGAACCCATTTATGTAGAAATTATACATACTATATTTATGTGTTTTTATCTAAGTATATGAAGTGGCCTTGAAAGGGAGCAGGACCTTGTGAGGCACAGTAGTACATTTGGAAAATCAATCCAGTGACATCTGGGAAATAAACCCACTTGTTTAAATATGAGGGAGGGAACAGAAGAAAATTATCTTTAGGTGTGAGTTTCACAGAGATCTGTAGGCTCCAAGGAGAGACCCTAGAACTAATGGGTGTGAACTATAAGCAGCCCAGGATAAGGCAGGTCCAGGACAGCCTGGGATGCCTCAAGTGAGTTGAGTTCCTGTGGATCAGTGTGTTTAGGCTACATACTGAATGGCCCCATAGTGGGGAGCTGTAGCAAGGCTCTAAGCATGTGGGTAGCTAACCTCATGGTCTTAAAAATCCCTTTCATCCCCCTAATTGAATTGGATTTGATAACCACAGGAAAGTGATATATCTGCTCTTGAGTTTATATTTTTCTAGAGTTTTTAAAGCCCTCTATAGACACATATATCCATCTAGGAGAGATTATGTCATTTATGTGAGAGCACAGTCTCGACTGGTACATCTTAATGGATGGAGAGCAAAATAGTATTGAAGACTAATGGGGAACTTCCTTTGGTGGTCCAGTGGTTAAGACTTTACACTCCCAATCCTGGGGACTCGGGTTGAGTCCCTTGTCAGGGAACTAGATTCCACACACTGCAACCAAGACCCACACGGCCAAATAAAGAAAAATAATATTAATTATTATTTATTTTTAATTGGAGGATAATTGCTTTGCAATGTTGTGTTGGTTGTTTCTGCCATATATTGACATGAATCAACCCTTGGTGTACACATGTCTCCTCCCTCTTGAACCTCCCTCCCATCTCCCACCCCATCCTATTCCCTCTTGGTTGTCACAGAGCAAGGGTTTGAGCTCCCTGCATCATACAGCAAATTCCCATTGGCTATTTTACCTTTGGTAATATATATGTTACCATATACGGGCTCTTGATTCATCCACCTCACTAGAACTGACTCAAATCTATTCACTTTTATGGCTGGGTAATATTTCATTGTATATCTGTACCACAACTTCTTTATCCATTCATTTGATGATGGACATCTAGGTTGCTTTCATGTCCTGGCTATTGTAAATAGTACTGCAATGAACATTGGGGTACATGTGTCTTTTAGAATGGTTTTCTCAGGGTATATGCCCAGTACTGGGATTGCTGGGTCATATGATAGTTTTATATCTAGTTTCTTTAAAGAACTCTCCATATTATTCTCCATAGTGACTCTATCAATTTACATTCCCACCAGCAGTGCAAGAGGATTCCCTTTTCTCCACATCCTCTCCAGCATTTATTGTTTGTAGATGTTTTGATGATGACCATTCTGACTGGTGTGAGGTCATGGTCATCATTGTTGTTTTGATTTGCATTGCTTTAATAGTGAGCAGTGTTGAGCATCTTTTCATGTGTTTATTAGCCATCTGTACATCTTCTTTGGGGAAATGTCTGTTTAGGTCTTCTGCGCAATTTTTGATTCAGTTGTTTGTTTTAATAATTTTTAAAACGTGACTAAATTTATTATATTCTGAGTATCAAAAGAATAATTACTGCAAGTAATTGTAAAACACTGAGTAAAAGTCTCTGTGTGTATAGTGATGCTCAGAAAAGGGGGGAAGAGAAAAAAATGCATGTGCCATCATTAAAGATGGCTCTTTTATCAATTTTTTTACCCTGAAAATCAATACTTAGAAGAAAAAAACTAAGCAGTTACCCTTTCTTTTTAAAATGAGCTATAATTCTTCCCTAGTTAATGAAGGAAAGTTCTTTACAGAAAACTGCCAGCTTATAACTGCAGAAGGAAGGCTAGAATGGGTAATCATCAGTGAAATGATTAAATCTAGCAAAAATCATCATTGGATGCTAAAATCATTAGATGAAGGATTTTTTGGAGAACAGAGTATTTGCATTTTCGTGGTGCCAAAATAGTACCCCCTCCTACCTCTGAATTATTGGCTAAAAGCAAAGGGAAAATTGAATCTTTACAAAGGAGTGCTGTGGCAGTCACCACCTTAACCAGGTAGTCCAGCTCAGCCTCACTTACGGTGAAACGGCTTGACATGATGTGCTTCATGATGTGATCAATTCAGAGCACACAGCATCAGCTCCAAGGTATTTTTACCCAGAATGTTAACTTTCATTAAGCCTTTAAATATGACTTCTGATTTTTAGAAAGTATAAGATCAGAAGCACAAGTTAAATGATACTATCATTTAAACAATGGAAGGAAATAATCAGCCAACCAAAATATAGGACAATCAAACTATAGAGATATAGACAGCTGGTCTGCATCTCTTCAAAAAGTCAATGTTATAAAAAAGAAAAAGTGAAGGGACTGTTCTAGATGAAAGAGACAGTAATTGACTGAAATGGGTGAGTCTTGATTGAACTCTGGTTTTGTAAAAACAGTTATAAAGGATGTTTGGAGGATATTCAAAATATTTTTGAAGATAGATTAGATATTAGATGATTATAGGAAATTGTTGACTTCTTGGATTGAGAAGAGTATTATAGTATATAGGAGCATGTCCTTATTTTTAGAAGCTATATGCAGGAATGTTTGGGGGAGAAATGTCATGTGTAGAACATTCATACACACATAAAAGTTTATATATAGCAGGGTATTAATATTTAATCTAGATGACAGCCATATTGTTGATTATTTTATTATTTTTTCAACTTTTCTGTGTGAGAATTTTATAATGCAAAGGAGAGACATTAGAATACAGACTCTGAAGTTGGCTTGACTTGGCTTCTGATAAGCTCTGTGACCCTGGAAAGTGACTACTTAACTTCTGTGTGTCTGTTTCGTCATC